TTAAAAAAAAAAAAAAAAAAAATAGGCTTTTTATTTTCTTATACAGCATCACAAAACTTCCCTTAAAGCCTTCTCTGTATGACAACTCAAGCAGTGGAGATATGGAAAAAACCTTACAAAAGTTGAACAGATTATGCCCTGTGTTCTCCTAAATATTTAATGTGACCTTTTTGGGGGGAGATGTGTGAAAGAAGATCCACCATGAATGTCTAGAGAAGTACTCTAATTAGAAAGCTAGTTATTCCATAATTCCCACCTCTTGTGGGGAGTACTCTAACTTGCCCTTTATTGAAATTTTGTTTTTCTGTAAATTTTGAAAGCTCGGCCCCTTCTGAAAGGACAAGAAGGGATAGAGCAGCTCTTCTTTTCTCTGCTCCAGAGTTTTCTGAAATGTAGAAGTGGGTCTTTGTGAATTTGTGCTTTGCTTGGCTTGTCACTTCATGGAAACCTTCTTGATAGTAACTTTCAGCTGTGGCTCTACTGCTGCTGTATTTCACAAGCAGCCACAGGATGAAATTGAAACATTGGTCAGTTCTACTGTTGGTTTATCTCTCTGTTGCTACTGAAGATTTAAATGAAAATCCCGTTAACTTCACTTCTTGAGTGATTCTAGAAATAGCAAAGAATGCTGCTATAGGTCCAGACTCAGGAGCGTATAACATCAGTGCATATTTGCAATCATTTGAATGAAAGAAAAAAAACCCTAAGTACTGGAGAAATAATGGCAAATGGATGAATCGGGCCACGGACTTTCCTATGCACCAGGGGTCTGCAATTTATTTGCAGTGTGGGGTGCTTTAACATAGCCAAGATGAAGAATTAAGCTTCACGTATGAAATTTTAAATACAGCTTTGGAAAAGAATACATTAGGCTGAATAAAAATGAAAGGTTGTCTGTGTGGGTGTTTTGGCTAAGGATGGCATTATATTTCTGTATTCATGTTCTCTAGTTGTTGTTTTTTCAGGAGGAGAGGTTCTGATTTGCTCGTATTGAATTATTTGAGCTTGAATCCTTCAAATTTAGGGTCCACATATTTTAAAAAGTAGATGTCAAATTTACTTTGCACATGATAATTTCTAAATTTAATTCAAAGTCTAAATACGAATAAAAATTAATCTTGTGAGCTAGAGTCTAGATGTTACCATTTTATTTAATGTTTTTAAAATTCTAGGTAGGATTAATATCCTGCAGTACTTGAAGATGTACTGTATTTAGTTGAATATAGCTCTGGATAAAACATGAAATTTTAATTGTTAGTTTTTCTGGGGGGAAGGTTTTTGACGTGTGAAGCGAGTTGGTAGTAGACATGCTATAGTATACTGGCTTGTGATGAGCAAAACTTACTGTTGCTTTTATTTACAGGCAGAAGACGACAGAGAGTGCATCGTCCTCGTTCTCCAATATTGGAAGAAAAAGATGTCCCATCCCTCGAGTTTCCTAAATCCTCAGAGGACTTAATGGTGCCTAACGAACATATAATGAATGTTATTGCCATCTATGAGGTACTACGGAACTTTGGCACTGTTTTACGACTGTCTCCTTTTCGTTTTGAGGACTTCTGTGCTGCTCTGGTAAGTCAGGAGCAATGCACACTTATGGCAGAGATGCATATAGTGCTTTTAAAAGCAGTTTTACGTGAAGAAGACACTTCAAATACTACCTTTGGACCTGCTGACCTCAAAGATAGCGTTAATTCCACTTTGTATTTCATAGATGGAATGACGTGGCCAGAGGTTCTGCGGGTATATTGTGAGAGTGACAAGGAATACCATCATGTTCTTCCTTATCAAGAGACAGAGGACTATCCTTATGGACCAGTAGAGAATAAAATCAAAGTTCTGCAGTTCTTAGTGGATCAGTTTCTTACAACAAACATTGCACGTGAGGAGCTAATGTCAGAAGGCGTTATCCAGTATGATGATCATTGTAGGGTTTGTCACAAACTGGGGGACTTGCTTTGCTGTGAAACTTGCTCAGCTGTGTACCATTTAGAGTGTGTGAAACCACCTCTTGAGGAGGTACCAGAGGACGAATGGCAGTGTGAGGTCTGTGTAGCACATAAGGTGCCTGGAGTAACTGACTGTGTTGCTGAAATCCAAAAAAATAAACCATACATTCGACATGAACCCATTGGATATGACAGACACCGACGAAAATACTGGTTCCTGAACCGAAGAATTATTATGTAAGTAAATCCAATCTTTTAGCATGTTCTAAAGAACAGTAGGTTTACATATAGCTTAAAATATATTTTCCTGCAAGTATTGTTGCCATCATACAAGTAATTCTTTCATTAATACAAGACCTACAATTGCTGTCAACTTTTGTAAGTAGATTTCTAAAATCCGTAATTCACCTGTGTAGTTTCTCTAGAACAATTATTTCAAGACTGTACTACTTCAAAAGGAAAAAATGCAGTACCTGCAGCTGAGTCCTAATGTGCAGCACAAAGCCACCATGTAATGGCACAAGTGTGGGGAAGGGAATGGAATTTCAGTATAGGAAAATACTCTGGCTTTGAGCATCTGTAGAGTTGATTAGAAATAATAAGAGGTGACTTGAAAAAATATGAAAAATAACATGACAGCATCTTTCTTAAGCATTTGGAACTTCCTGATAATTTATCTTGGGCTAGTCTAGTTGCTTTATAACAGCATAGAAACCTAGATTTAGGAACATTCCCTAATGCAGGGGTAGGTAACCCGGGGCATGGATGCCAGAGTGCGACAGTCAAAGCCATCTTGTTTGGCACATGTGCCTCAGGGCAGATGACAGGGAAGGGGCCAGGGCTGCACTGCCACAACAAGGATTGGGCACCTCGTGGCTCCCTCACCATTTGCCCCTGGCATGCCAACATCTTACAAGTCGAGGTTGCAGGTGTTTTTGGCACTCGGCCCAAAAACATTGCTAATCCCTGTCCTAATAGTTACAATAGACAAAAGCTAAACTATCTATGTTGGTAGGTTGTGGGGTTAAAAGAGACTGCTAGTAGAAACCTCTGAAGATCACTCACCGTTTCTCTTGGCCGAGAGTGCAGTGATGAAGATCCTGTAATTATGGAAAATAATCTTGAGCAGTTTAAAGGGGAAATGAATGAAAACATGCATTTAAGCAGTCTACTCATTTTATAGGATGTCCTGCACGATGCCTTAGTGTTGGTTGGTCCAGAGACCATAATATAATAAAGATGGTTAATGATGATCTTCTAGCATGCATCCTGGGAGCCCAGAGTACCCTCCTTTTCTTTTCCTACCTGAAAATTTAAGTTTGGAATTGTAAGCAAGTATTTCTCTACTAATAGAAAATAAGTAGTAGGATCCTGGGCCCTGTTGGAGTTCTAACGTAGTAGTTGTGATTAATGGAAGAGAAACACAAATGTGTAAAAGAAAGTTTAGAGAAATTATGAAATATTGGAAAAATAAAACAGCTAGCAGTGAGTTGTATTACCTTCTCATACCATACTTCTCAGCCTTTTATCACATAAAAAATTATTCATGAAAGGATGCATTAACCAATCTGTTTTACAAAACTGATAAAAATGCATATTAAACTACTAGTCAGACCCTCCAGGGGAGAGATTCTTACAGGGATCACCCCTATGACTGACTTGCAGCGTACAAGCCACCAAATATCCAGGGAACTCATTTGTAGCCTTCAGAATACACAATCTTTTTTCCTGTGTCCTTAATGCATAATCATTCTTGACACATTGACTGTTCTTGAGATTAAATCTACCAACGTTATCATTTTACATTTTAAAAACGTATTACTTTGTTCCTTAACAATTGTGATATAATAGTTATGTTTCAGTTATAATTGCTGTAAATTTTTCTACATCATAATTGTGGCAATAGCTGCAGTTGGTCTCCTGCATCTTTCAAAAGATGAACTGCAGCCTTTAATGCCTTGTTAAAATTTCTCAGCATAATAGGACACTCAGCCTGATCTTGTCAACATCTTTGTTATGTGTGTAACCCTGATCAGCTGGGGCTGCCTTCTGTTTCTAACAAGGTGCACTGCTTGATTTGTCAGGCTTTGAGCCAAAGCTGTTCCCTCAGCTCTTGAATATGGGAATTTTCCACTAGTAATGGATTCTTCTCTAAACTCTGGTCTTGGGGTTAAAAATGTAGAAGGGACTGTCGTACAAAGAACAGTATTACATTAATTCTTTTAAATGGACAAAATTCTTAAATCCTGATTTGCTAGTGATGAAAGATATATCTGTTTTTAAAGGATTTCTTAACATTTTACCTCTTGCTCAAAATTTGACATCACAATTCCTGTGGAAGTATGAAATCATAAATTCAGGAACCTTAATTTCACTACAAGATTAAAGAAACTGGTGGAGTTTCTACTTTCCCTCTTGCACTTCTGTAGTTCAGCATAATTCATACCCCTGGATCAGAGTTCCTAGATGCCATATTCCAATAATGCCAACTCTTCTACTTAACCCAGATTAAATTTAGTCTTTTCCTCAAGGGCAAAGTACCTAATTTTTTTTTCCCAGTGGTAAAGTTATCTGTTTTCAATAAAGCAAGCCTGCGTATTGGGGGAAAAAAAGACATGCACTTTTATTGTCTGAAATTCGGGAGTTGGTCCATCTGTTTTTTCTCCACTTTTCAGACTTCTTCCTTCCCTTGGAGAAAGGGGTTGAGGTGGAAGAATCTGTGACAAATGTTAAAAAGAACTTGTATCCAAAGTAACTTTTCCAGTGAATGTGAGTTTTTTGTTCACCTTTCTGTCCAAGTTTATGCTGTATTAGCATAAACTTTTATACATTGAACTCATTTGAATACTTCTGTATGCATTTATTTCTAAATCTCATACAAGAAGTTCTCCCAGTTTTTGTGAATGCACAGCTATATAATTAAATTTAGTATTTTGATATACTAAGTAAAAACTGTTGTTGAAATAACCAAGTTTCAATCTGAACATGTGCAAAGAAGAGATTCTCTAGTTTTCATTGTAAAAGGTCATTGGTGCGCACTGTCTTGGTGTAATGGTTCTGCTGATCCAAGGGCAAACTTAAGCTTTCTTGGATAATTAAAAAATAAGTTAAAGTGTACTCATTAAGAGTGTCAAAAGTAATATTCAGCATAAAGCATGAAGGACATTGTCTTACAGGAGGGATAATGAGTCTTACAGCTCCCTTTGCCTGTCTGCTGGAAGGGATACTGCTAGCATTTTAAGAGGAGAGAAGAGCAGTAGATGTAGAAATGAATTTAAAAGGCTAGAGAGAGATAAGCAGGCAACTCTTAAACTTTGAAAATAAAAATCACGAGAACTAACTGACATTCAGTTATCAACTGAGAGGATAAGCTGTTCTGCCAGTATTTGGAAGGGAATTGGAAAAAATAAAATGGGTTACAGTTGTGTTACTAATCCCCCCTTTTTTTTCCTTTGAATAAATACACTTTTCAGTTTTTTTCCTAGTTACATAATGATCATTTTCCCACAATATTTTTGTAGTAATATCTTACTGTGGAGGTGCCTTGAGAGTGTTAGATTACTTTCCCTATCAGTAAACAGACCAGAGACCAATGTACAAGATCTGAACTACCACAGCAGGATGGCAGCCAAACACTTAAAGCAGGGGTGGGCAGTTATTTTGGGCAGGAGGGCTGCTTACCCAGTTTTGGCAGGTTGTCAAGAGCAGCATGGGTTGCCCCGCCCCTTGACAGGTGCCCCACCCCCTGGTTATGGTCTTGGGACCAATGTCCCAGGGCCAGTACCGGTGGGGCCCAGAGTGGACCACAGGCTGGAAGGGGTCTGTGAATGTGTTTTGGGCTGCACCAGCAGGGAGAGGGGGGAGCTGGCTGAGCTCCATAGAGCCCCTGCCAGCTGGGACCCTGTGCTCCTGCCACCCTGCTCTGGGCCCCACTGGCACTGGCCCCAGGACACTGGTGTGGGCCCCATGCTCCCACTGGCTCCCTGCCTGCTCACACCCAGTGCCCCCCAGCCACACAGTACAGGCAGGGGGCAGTGCACAGCCCCAACCTCCTGCTCGCCAGCAGGCAAGAAGCTGGTGCTGAGTGTGGGGAAAAGTGGCCCCTTGCCTGCGCCATGGCTGGCGCCCTGCGCTGCAGGCGCTCACAGCCCGTGTGGGGCTGTCCAGAGCAGGCACAGGCAGCCTCATGCGGGCTGCAAGTGGCAGCAGTGCAGGGCGCTGGCCATGGGGTGGGCGAGGGGCCGCCTTTCTCTGTACTCAGCACCAGCTTGTAACCCACCCCACTGCCAGCCTGGCAGTGGGGCTGGGTTACAAGCTGGTAGTGAGCAGGGGCTGGGGGGAAGCAGCCCCGCCTCATGCCCAGTGCCCCACACTGCAGCCACTTACAGCCTGCCTGGGGCTGTCTATGCCTGCTCCATACAGCCCCACATGGGCTGCGAGCCCCTGCAGCGCGGGGTGCCAGCCATGGGGCAGGTGAGAGGTGACTTTTCTCCGCACAGGGAAGGAGCCCAGGGCAAAGCTGAGCGTGGAGGAGAAGCAGCCCTTCCCACGCCTGGTGCCACACACTACAGCTGCTTGCAGCCTGCATGGGGCTGTCCGGAGCAGGCACAGGCAGCCCCACATGGGCTGCAAGCAGCTGCAGTGCGGGGCACCGGGCATGGGCGGGGAGGGGCAGCTTCCGCCCCCTGCAATCCTTCCCTGCCTGGGGTCCCCCCCAGCTTATCTGAGCTTCCCGCGCTGGGCCAGCCACATGCTCCCAGCCCAGAAACCCCAGCTGGGGCTTCCAGCTGGGGGCTGGGGCTGGGCGGGCCCACTATTGCTGGAACCCGCTGGGCTTCATTTTTGACAGGAACCAAGGGCAGAGAAATATTGATTTCCTAAGTGTTTTTTTTTTTGGGGGCCCCCCAGGGGTGGGAAAGAAGGGCCTCATGGCGGGTTTGGCCCCA